CCGCCGCCCGCAGCCCCCACCTCCCTGCTGAACTCCACTTGTCTACTGCACATGTGACCACTCCACTCTCCCCGCTCCCTACTCTGTAAAAGTAAACAAATAGCAATGGGGTTACCTGCCGGTGCTCCCTACCTTCTTCAGGGTACAAACCGAGCTCTTCGCTGTGGCACCTGCTCAACACTTGTGGGCTCCTTCATGCAGCACATGTTCACTGAGCTCCCAGGGTGTGCTCAGCAGGAGGCATGGAGGGGGCAGGTCATTCACAGGAGCCTGACCGAGGGGAAGAGACTGGGAGGGTCTGAAGGATGAGGAGAGAGGGGTAGACTCAGAGATGCTCAATCATCCAAGAAAGGGCGATGGGCCCAGCCAGTGTGGCTCAGTGGTTGAGCGCCGATCTTATGAACCAGGAGGTCACGGTTCAATTCCTGGTCAGGGCACATGCCTGGGTTTCAGGCTTGATCCCCAGTAGGGGGCATGGAAGAGGCAGCCAATCCATGATTCTCTCTCATCATTGATGTTTCTAACTCTCCCTCTCCCTTCCTCTATGAAATCAATAAACATATATTTAAAAAATAAAAAAAATAAAGGATCCTGCTATCCACACAAACATCATGCAGCCAAAGAGGAGGATGGGATCCTAGCACTGGTCTAGTGTTGTCTCATTGGACATAATTTACCACTGGCCAGCCTTCAGATTCCCACACAGAACTCTGGGAACAGAGATACTGTATAGCTTTTGGGAATTTAAAATATCTATAATAACTCACTGCATTTTTTTTGAAAGAAAGAAAGAAAGAAGAAAGAAAGAAGGAAGAAAGAAAGAAAGAAAGAAAGAAGAAAGAAAGAAGGAAGAAAGAAAGAAAGAAAGAAAGAAAGAAAGAAAGAAAGAAAGAAAGAAAGAAAGAAAAGGATCGCCCTAACCGGTTTGGCTCAGTGGATAGAGCGTCGGCCTGCGGACTGAAGGGTCCCAGGTTCGATTCCGGTCATGGGCATGTGCCTTGGTTGCAGGCACATCCCCAGTGGGGGGTGTGCAGGAGGCAGCTGATCGATGTTTCTCTCTCATCGATGTTTCTAACTATCCCTCTCCCTTCCTCTCTGTAAAAAAATCAATAAAATATATTTTTTAAAAAAAGAAAAAAAAAAAGAAAAGGATCCATGAAGTCAGCCACAGAACACCTGCACATGGGAGCAGGGCCAGCAGTGGGAACATGGGGAGGGCGCTGTGCGGACAAGTGTTTTTAGCTGCTCGTGCTGTGTACTCAGGTGACGCTCACACAGGCCTGCTGAGCAAGAGAGAGTCAGGAGTGGGGTGCCCACCCGGGCGGTGCAGGAGCCCACGGGGGGGCAGTGGGGACCTCACCCTCTCCTTGTTTAAATTGCTCACAGACATCCTTTAGTCCTTCAGCCATGAAGGGACAGGGTGCAGGCTCTTAGGAAGCCAGCTGCTGGGCTGAGGGGTCTTGCACTCATCTCCGTGGGGAACCGAGTGCCCAGCCTCTGTGCCTCCGCCCCGACATTTGCGGCTGGGACCCCCTGCCATCCCCCCCCCAGAGGAGAGGTGGTGGGTGGGAACCAGCCCTGCAGACCTCACCCCTCCAGCACCCGCTCTTTCTGCCTGGGAGGCTGG